CTCGCGGTCTGTGAGTTCGAGCCCTGCGTCGGGCTCTGTGCTGACAACTCAGAGCCTGGAGCCTGCTTCGGATTCTGTGTCCCTCTCTCTCTGCCCCTCCCCCACTCATGCTCTGTCTCTCTCTGTCTCAGAAATAAATAAACCTTAAAAAAAATTAAAAAAGGTAACATTTCAGACGAGAACTGATGGAGCAGAAGGAGGCAGCTGTGTGAAGTTCTGTAAATGCGAAGGTCATGAGCAAGATTTTCAATTTGACCTGCTAAAGAATGGAAAGACGGCTTGAGGAGCAGGAGACGAACCCATCAGAAACCACTATTCAGGTGAGGCTATTACATTTTTTAAATATAATTTCTTTTAATGTTTATTTATTTTTGAGAGAGACAGAGTGTGAGTGGGGGAGGAGCAGAGAGAGAGGCAGACACAGAATCTAAAGCAAGCTCCAGGCCCTGAGCTGTCAGCACAGAGCCTGATGCGGGGCTCGAACTCATGAACTGTGAGATCATGACCTGAGGTGAAGTTAGATGCTTAACTGAGTGAGCCACCCAGGCTCCCCGAGACTATTGAATTTTAAATTAATTAAAATAAAATATAAAAACTCAGTTCCTCGGTGGCACTATGTTTCAAGTTCTCAACAGCCATATGTGACTAGTTGCCACCATACTTGACAGTGCAGAGTATATCTGCATCATTGAAGAATGTTCCGATGGACAGTGTGGCACTAGTGAAGTAGGAGAATTGGAATAGGGCAGGTCACAGAGAGTGGTTTGCAAAGATCATGAAGGTCCCTGTAGGTGGCCATGAGAACTGCAAGTTCAGTGGAAAGCCTCTGGATGGTTTTAAGCAGGGAGTGACATCATCTGACTTGCATTTTAAAACTCTCATTCTGACTACTGTGTGGAAAATGGTAGGAGAGCAAGACCAGTGAGAAAGTTATTGCAATGTCCTGGACAGGGATGATGATGGGTCTTTGGTTGGTTATTGTAAGAGGGAGGGTGAAAAATTGATGGACTCACGATCTATTTTAGAGGTGGAATCAAAAGGACTTGCTAATAGATTGGAAGTAAAATAAGGTAAATAAAAGAAGGAATTGAGGGCAGTGCCCTCTTTTGGGACCTGAGCAGTTAGGCTCAAGCCTTTTCGCTCAGGTGCTTAAGCTTTTTCCTATGGTAGGAGGACTGAGGAGAAATAGTTTGGGGTGGTGGGGATTGATGGAGGATGGCAGGGAGGGAGTTGGAAGTCAGGAATTTTGTTTTGGATGCATTGTATTTTAGATACCCATTTGATATATATGCATAGAGGTCAGGGAGGTAGTAGGGAATGAATAAACCCCTGCTATAGAGTATAAACTTTTAAAATTTAACAGAATTCCCTTAAGCATAACTATATTTGGCAAATGATATGCAACCGGGCTGATTTCTAGATCCTCTTCACAAAGCACTAATGAAAACACGGTTGCTAGATTTAGCTAAGTGGAGAGCTTTACCAAATGGATTTTTCCTTTCCATTTTCCATACTCTACTTTTCCGTGGGTGCCTTTTTCTTATCCTTTGGCTGTGTTGTCACGTTCTGAATTGGGATTCATCGCTATCTGTAGAAAATAGGCAGTTTTATATCTGGGTGATTATTCAGTGTCCACTTTATGTACTGGGTCTCACTTCACTTAATATATTCTGCCCAAAGTTTGTCACTTTTTCAGTATAGTGTTGTAGCTTTCTGCATCTCTCTAGTAAGAGTATTTGTTATTTTCATTCATCTGCTTCCAGGTTTGGGATGATAATGAAGGTAAAGGGGTGAGGGAATCCACCTTATTTCCCCTGGGTGGGACACATAACTTTCTGGGTGTGATTTTCATTGAGAATGGGGAGAAGCCCAGATGCCAGGACATTGCCTCTGTAATACCATGGAATACCTCAAGGATGTCAGTTTAACATTTAGATCTAGTATTTTTGTGTTGGTGCATTAACAAATGTCATTCTTATTTTTTCTATTACAGTTTCTTAGAATGTCGACATTCCATCTCTCATAAATTCAATTTTTATGATGATTATTTTCTAAAGAACTGAGATAATTGTGGGGGTGGGAAAGAGAGAAAAGTGAAATATTCTAAAATTCCCCTCACTATGCCTTTCTTTCTAACCTTGATACATGCCATATTTTTCATTTTAATATGCTGTTTCTGATCACCATTGGATATTAGCATGATTTTCCATTCAAGGTTTTTTACTCTGAAGTGTTCCAGGTAGGCTCTGGCATATGAATCATATCTCTAAAAAGGAAACTCAGAAAAGTATGTGTGCATGCTAGGGGGCTCATTTGTCTTTGGCAAAGACATTGTTGCTTCTGTTTCCTTAATTATCAAACAGATGGTGCCCACTGCCATTGACTAGCTGCCCAACTTGTTCTCCACGTGATAGTATAGTTCTGGACATCTGATGGAGAGTTGTATCATCATAGCTCCTCGTATCCATTTATATCATAAATTAATATTAATACCTGCCTCTAAGGAGAGCAGGCTGTTTCCCGTAAAGCTAAGTTTAAGACTTCAGCCATCTTCTCCCCCCTACCTCTATGAATTAATTTTATCTCAAGTATCTCCTTTGGCTTTTCTTTATATTACTTCATCTCTACACACAAAATACAGTGGCATATTGAACCAATTATCCAAATACTCCAGGCTAACAACACACTTTAACCTGGAATGTCAAGATAATTAAGACAAAATTGATTATTAATATTAGTGGAGGCAAATGACATCTAAGGTAGCCATATTCAACACGAACAAGAGTGGATGATCATATTCTTATGTTCTAAATGTAAAAAGAAACTAGCTCCCAACACTGATGGATTTTAAAGGCCCACTGGGTGGATATTGAATGATTTTTCATAATCTGCCTAAAAAGTTAGTTTTAAATTTTTTCTTTAGTTTCTCAAAGACTACATTCCTACAGTATATGAAGCATGCATCCTGTAAACATTCATAATGAGGGTCCTGATTTTTTCTCACAAGCATTCTTTATGGTAGACATATTATTTCACAACCATAGTGAGTCTTCTCAGAGCTCTCCTGCTGTTAACCTACCTGGACTCACTTCTCCCTTGAGATTTCTTTTAATTCCTTTTAGGCTTCTTAATTTGGTAAACCTTCTTGAGGCTGGGGTCACTTAATCTCCATGTATTTACCACCCACCATCAACAGCTGTTGCCTAATACGCTCATACCCTGGATTTTTCAAATAACAATTTGGAAAAAACAAGCAAAAAACCCCGCCCCCAACTCTTATTTCCCAATTTAATAATGCTGTTATGGGGTGCCTGGGTGGCTCAATGGGTTAAGCCTCCGACTTTGGCTCAGGTCATGCTCTCACGGTTCATGGGTTCAAGCCCCACATTGGGCTCTGTGCTGACAGCTCAGAGCCTGGAGCCTGCTTCGGATTCTGTCTCCCTCTCTCTATGCCTCTCCCCTGCCCACGTTCTGTCTCTCTCTCTCTCTCTCTCTCTCTCTCTCTCAAGAATAAATAAACATTAGAAAAAAATTGAAAAATAATAATGCTGGTACTGTCTTGGTAACTTTTTGAGATTTTCCATCATTTGTAATAATAGGAAAGGCTTGGGTTCTGTTTAAAACAGACCTTCCAGCAGGAGCAGCCAGAGCATTACAATGCCACCTGAAATTGGTTTGCTGTTGTAACTGACTTGAGAACTAAGCATCTTTGAATCACTGACAGTAGATGTGGCTTGTCATCAGGAGGTAGCATGTTAGTTTCCACTGCCTGACAAGTAGGCAAGAACAATCCTTTTTTCCTAGCGTCCTAGGAAGCTCGGCCTGAGGGCCAGCCGCAGAAACCCGCAACCCCTGGCTTCAGTAAGCTGGGCGGTGGTAGACCAGCCTCAGCAACCCTTTCTCCAACGTGCTCAAGTGCGTGCGGGACCCGCTCAGGAGAATGCCGCAAAGCGCTGAAAGCAGCGCCTCCTCCGGGGGAGGAGGCGGGAACTCGGCTGGGAAAGCTTTCCTAGGGAGTTGCCTTAAAGAAAGCAGCAAGCAAGCTGAGTCGCTGATCACTCCAGTTGCCCGCTTTTTTAATACAGTTTTAACCAGTCGTCTAAACTCGTTTCCCTTTTGCAAAACTGCAAATCACCACCTACATCGCACCAAAAAGAAGGGGAGAAAAAAAAAAAGAAGTAAATCTCGTTCTCCCTTCTCACCCTCCCTTCCTCTCACCCTCCCTTCCTCTCCAGCTCGCTCGCTCTCCCTCCCTCCCTTCTTGCCGCTGCCGCTAGCCTCTCGGACTGTGTCTCTTTCCGACGGGACTTAGCAACTTCTTGGTTATTTCTCAGCCCCCTTTCCTTTTTTTTTTTTTTTTTTTTTTTTTTTTTTTTTTTTTTGCCACCCTTTGCCATGGACTGGACCGACAGACGCAGGGGAGGCTTTGCTTTCTGCCCCGGGGAATGGCGGTTCGCTTCCTGGGGCCGTGCCGGGGAGGATCGGCCGAGGAGAAAGAAAGAGTGATAGAGAAAGAGCTGCAGGAAGGAAGAAAAGGGGCACCTCCAGACGCCGCGGGCCCGGCGCGTTGCAGCGCAACGCCGAGCGCCGAACGAGATGGCCCCGAGCTCGCCCCGCGCCTCCGGCTCCTCCAGAGGCTGCAGCCCCCGTGCGCGGGGCGCGTGGGGCAATTTTTAAAATCCTGAAGTAGGAAGAGACCCCGGAGGATAGAAATCGGGGGTGGGGGTGGAGCACAATTTTTAAGAGTTTTCCAAAGAGAGAAAAGGAGGAAGTCTGATCGTTTGTGTCTGTGCTAGCTTTTAACTTGAAGGCGTCTCCTTGGAGCATCCAGGATTCCCCAGGAGTTTACTGGGAAGCTGAAACTTGTAGTGGGGCTCGGGGGCCCGGGGAGAAGGAAGGATTCTGAGGGTGGGATTAGGGACAGGGTGCGTGCGTGCATGTGTGTGTGTCGGGGTGGGGGCGTCGGGGGGACCTTGGGGATTCCGTGAGGAGGGCACACAATGGCAGTGCCCCGAGAGGCCGCCCGAGTCCGAGACAAGCCAGGCCACGGTGGGGTGCATCCAGCCCCCGCCGCGGGCCGGGACTACCCCGCTCGCCCCGGCGCCGCACCGCCGCGGGACTCCGGCAGCCGCGGCCGCTGGAGAGACCTGGTGCTGCAGTCGCTCCGGCGCTCCCGGAAACTTTCCTCAGCGCTGTGCGCCGGCTCTCTGTCCTTTCTGCTGGCCCTGCTGGTGAGGCTGGTGCGCGGGGAGATCGGCCGGGACCCGGAGCAGAGTAAGGAGGTGGCGGCTGCGGCGGCGGAGGAAGCGGCCCTGGGAGCAGAAGGGGGCGTCTTCCCCGGGCTTCGGGGAGGTGCTCCCGGGGGCGGCGCGCCGCTCAGCCCCTGGCTGCAGCCCTCGGCGCTGCTCTTCAGTCTCCTGTGTGCCTTCTTCTGGATGGGCTTGTACCTCCTGCGCGCCGGGGTGCGCCTGCCTCTGGCCGTCTCACTGCTGGCAGCCTGCTGCGGGGGGGAAGCGCTCGTCCAGATTGGGCTGGGCGTCGGGGAGGATCACTTACTCTCGCTCCCGGCCGCGGGGGTGGTGCTCAGCTGCTTGGCCGCCGCGACATGGCTGGTGCTGAGGCTGAGGCTGGGCGTCCTCATGATCGCCTTGACTAGCGTGGTCAGGACCGTGTCCCTCATTTCCTTAGAGAGGTTCAAGGTCGCCTGGAGACCTTACCTGGCGTACTTGGCCGGCGTGCTGGGGCTCCTCCTGGCCAGGTACGTGGAGCAAATCTTGCCGCAGCCCGCGGGGGCGGCTCCGAGGGAGCATTTCGGGTCCCAGCTGATTGCTGGGACCAGGGAAGATATCCCAGTATTTAAGAGGAGGAGGCGGTCCAGTTCCGTGGTGTCCGCCGAGATGTCCGGCTGCAGCAGCAAGTCTCATCGGAGGACCTCCCTGCCCTGCATACCGAGGGAACAGGTAAGCGCTGGCAAGCTCTTCTCGCTCGCCTCTCGCCTCTCGGGAAGACTCGAAACGCTTGGGATTCGCCCCAAAGTGGAGGGAATCCCAGAACTGGGTACTAAAGCAAAGATAGCCTAGAAAAGTGCTCTAACTTCAGACCTAGTAGGAAAGTAGACACGTATTCTCGTCTCCCACAGTATTTTACAACCTGAACAACAGAAACAATAATAAGTAACAAAACTAGGTGGCGTTTGCAGGGTCTTCCACAGCTGGGTCAACTTTTTAGATGTGCTACACCTGGCGTTTGACTTCCCTCCACTTAAGTACTCTCGTAGCTTTACTAATGTAGCAGAAATCTTCCAGTGCAGCTTTTTAGCACTGGGTGATTTTTCAACACGTGGATCTTACTAGATTTTTAAAATACTTTTGATAAAGTTTCATCCAAAGTGACAAATGTTTATGGAAGTCAGTAAAAGCAAAGAATGCTTGAAGGTGAGGTGTTGATAAACGCTTTCTGACTTTGCGGTAAGTTTTCCTTGAAGAGGCTGCATCTGGTGGTGCCCAATTTGTTTTTAAATGTAACTTGGGGACATAGTTATTTATGTGCTAATGTGTTTTGTATCCTAATGATAAACTTCTATTTGGGGAACAATATGTCTGAACTGCGGAATTTGTCAAAGTCTTGAACTGAGCTCTTAGTGTCAACTAAAATAAAACATTTCTCTTGAGTGTGCGCTTAAGTGGATGTTTAGAAATTCAAATGCATTTATTCAGATTATACAGGAAATATTAATTCAGGAGAATAATTCTAAGATTGCTGGTGGTATAAATCTCTCAAAAAGAAAGAAGAGAATTATGAATGAAGTCCTAGAGGGGGGAAAAAAAGGTTAGTGAATTTTGGAGATGAATCTCCTTATCATTAAGGGATTTGAGACCATGGAATATAGTTGCTATAAAGGGCATAAAAGAACAAATCCCAATTTTAAATACAAATTGTTTCTGAAAAGGTATACATAAGTGTTTGCTTCTCTATTCCAAACAGATAATGACACTTAAGGGGGTGGGGGTTGTAGAGAGCTTATTATGTACACAGCAAGTGGAAATTTACACTTTTCCCATTTAAATTTATGCCTACCTATGGTCTTTTTAGGACAACTTTAGTGAGTGGGAGAATGTCATAATATATAGTAAGCTTTTCTTTTTAGGTTATTCTGTGTAGAATCATGTAGATTCTAAGACCTAGCAGTCACCATATGGTGTGGTGGCTAGTTTGTTTTTGAAATGGAGTTGATTACACAGAATGCAGTTGTTTGACAGTATTTGGCAGAATGGATGACAGCATCATAGTCTCTGTGTTTATTTTAAAACAAATGTACTTATTTAGCTTTTTGTTTAGATAAAGCAAATATTTCTTGGGTATAAGCTTACTCTAAGAGTGAAGTTAAAAACAGGCCACTGACTGATACTTAGTTTTGGTAGAAATTTGGAAATCACCAGAATAAAATAAGCCATCTATTTAAAGGTAAACCAATTAGGGGGAAAACACAGTTCAGTTTCTTTTCAAAGTGTCAGGAGAGAATGTTTTTTAAATGAAAACACCGCTAGTTTAATTACAGTTGGAACACTTTTCTTTGACTTGAAGGGGAATGTGATATGATCATTGCAAAATTGAACCATACTTTGTAAGGCAAATCTGTGATTTAATCACAAATAGCTTGACCACAAATTAATATCACTTAACCTCTTACATTTCTGAAATTCCGTACAACATTTAGAAGTTAAGGAGCTCCAAGTGGATTTAATGTAAAGGTGTTTAGGTGAGTTAACTAGCAGTGTTAATTATCCTACAGATAATTCTTGGTTTTCTCTGATTTGAATTGATAAATGGAAAATTCAAATAATGTGCAGACTTACAAGAAAACAACTTAGCATTGCATTTTTAAATGTTTTGCTGATTAATGCTGTTGAAAATGCACGTTTATAATCTACTTTGGCCATTTTTTCTGGTTCCTGTTTTTTTTTTTTAAGACTGTTTATGAAGAATGTTCTCAAGTGAGAGAGACTAGATCTCTTATGGTTGATGGAAAAAACAAGGTTACATTTAGTAGAAGTTTAGATCCTTGAAGTTTTAATGAGGGTACTGGTTAGTGTGTGCGTATTACTTAAGACTAGTTTTCATATACGGCTCATTAAAGTTGTTGCTGAGTAGAATTGGGGGGGGTGGGTGGGAACTAACATGGAATAGTCTCTTACAAGATAGGGCAATATCTCATACGTTAGTCTAACTGTGTGAAAAGTTCAGGAGCTATATAATAAAAGGCTTATCTGTTTTATCATAAGGAAACAAACTTCTGGTTAAGAGTGCAAAGTGTACACTGTCATCTGCATACTTTATGAAGTCAAGAATCAAAATACTTGTAAAGCACATATATGACCCTGCCCTGAATGCTACCTTTATGAAAGAATGTCTGTTCTCAACTCAAGATGATAGGCAACAAGTGAATTTTAAATGGAGGCGTAAGGACATAAAGCCCAGAAAGGCTGGCAGAGAATTTACTTGGACCTTGCTCGTTGCGAGGTTTAAAGGTGAGAGAATTTCAGCCTTTTCTTCTCTGTATGAATGGTAGTGGCCGCTTGCTTGCGAACTACCTCTTTTCAATGACTCGATTCTAAAAGGTCAAGGAGAATGGATGATAAAAATTCTCGTAAGACAAACTAACTGACAGAGATATTTTCCTCTCTTTTCCCCCTTCCTTCCTGAACCATAGCTAAGTCTACTGATTGGATATTACACATGGGATTAGTTTTGCAGTGTGGATGATGAAGATGGCTTTAAGCGAAGGAAGGAGAAATAGGGCTAGTCCTCAGTCACAGAATTAATCTGATACTGGGTCTGTCTGTGAATGCAAGTGGAGGTATCTTGACTCTTCGTAAAGAAAAGTTTGTAATATTTGTGTGGCTTTTAGTTCAGTAGTATACTAGTCCAGTATCCTCAAGACTCAGGCTGATTTTGTAGATCAGTGTGTCAAACTGCACTTTTTTGGTTGGCACATGTGTGTCCATTATGGTATATGTATCTTTTCTAAGTGGGTGTTCGTTCACGTTCTAGAGCAGATATGTCTCTCTCAAGTTATCACTGCACTGTCTAAACACTGGACTATGCAAGATACTTAGAATTTCTTGAATTACTAGATATTTTGTATGATTAATGCTATTTTTCAATATAAAATTTTATGAAATTTTTACCATTTGGAAATTGTGTTTGAAGTGGTGTCTCCATTCTCTTTATAAGTCAAAGAACACCATTGGCTGGTCATTCCTCTCTAATTACTGTGACCACCTTGCACTTTGAATTTTGAAAGATTCCTAACCAGTGCTATTTTATTTTGGTTACATGTCAAGAATTTAGTATTTTTGCCTATGGCTTCACACAAAGTACACCCCAGGTATGTGTCTCTCTCTGTTCGTGTTATTTGGACCACTCATTGACAAAATTCTTTAGGATGGATACCGTATCCATCAGAAATGTACGGCTATATATTTATATTGTAGAATTAAAATTCAAAATATTCATTTCCCTAAAAACTCTTAAACATCTTTAGCAACAACAGATTTTTGTAGGAATGTAGTGGAGCCTGGTGGTTGGTTGTCAAAAGTAGAATCAAGTTTTTCATCATTGACGTAAGAAAGACATTTTGAAATGAAAAAGCAAGTAGCAACAATAAAACAAAAATATGAGAAATAGATATGCTTTTTGCTGGTAGACACAGATAGGCCTTGATACATCTTTTATATGGAAAAGTATAACTTCTGTTTATAGTGTGGCTATAAAAATACAGAATTATTTCTTTTGAAAATAAAGACTATATTGTCCTTTGAGTTCCTAATACATTTAAGTATAATACACTATATTCCTCAAACTGAATAAATTTCAGAAACAATCATAGGTTTTTAATTTTATAACATTTCAGTAGGATAACTCAGCTTATGGTGATACAAAGAACAATACTGATTATTTATTTATGACCTGCTGACAGAATTAAAATTAATTAATCTCAACTTCTGAAAATATTAAAAAAGAAAAACACAAGACTTTCTTATCCCTTGGGAAAGGTAAAGGGAAATAATTTTGTGTGTTTGTGGGGACAAAATTGTGATTTTTACTTTGTATATACAGATAAATTTAAAGCATACTGAAAAAACGGTTTTAACTGACAGAAATAGTCAGTGAATCTATATAAATTTACAGAGGTTGGAAGGAGTCAAACAGTAATTTTACTCTTTCTGTATTGAGTCTAAAGTGTAAAAAGTTAAAACTGTAGAACTGAAAGAAATGCTGTGTATGCTGGGCTGTCATGTTAATTAAATAAACAACCAGAACAGTGACTCTGTGTATGAAATACATTTTGAAAAGCCTGGGCAGGGGGTGCAGGCAGGCAGGGGTGAGTGACACTGGCATGAAAAAGCATTCATTGTATTTGTAGTGACATTTGTGTGAATTTGTTGTATTCTATTAGGAAATAAAATTCTGAGACTAATCTTTGCACGACTCTAGTTGAATAAAGGCTTTACTAAATTTAATTTCACTTCTCCTTTAAATAGAATTGAAATGGAATGTTTATGAACCTCAAAATTAGATTTCTATATGTTTTAAGATTTCAGTTAATATGGTTGGTGCCAGTAACATCCCAATAGAGTCTATGTAGATTAACACAAGTTTTCAATGATGCCTATCGAATGAATGAGTTTATTTTGGATTTAGGATAGGAGTTGTATTTTTCAGGAAACATTGTTGTGAGATGTAATCTCATGGATGTAGGAAGGCAATCAATGCAACTGTTGTAGCATGTGGTATCCTAAAGAGATTTTGACATGCAGACACAGTGCCTTTGCATAAGGCAAGTTTCTTTGGCTTTGTGAAATTATGTGTGACCCTACATGTTTGTGGTGAATTGTTTATTTAGTTGGTCTTCTGTCTCCTATCCCATCAAGTCTTCCTCCTCCTCCTCTTCTCTTGT